AAGATATAATTTCTCCCAAAAGCTCTGGGAGATGGGTTAGACTAAAAGAGTTGAGAGAGGGACTAGTCCAAGGTTGGTTGGTTGGTTGGTTTATAAAATTTGTATGCCGCCTGATTCCCAACAACTCTGGGTAGCTCACAACAACTAAACAATTAACTCTTCATATTGCTTTCATGTCTGATAAAATTTGGCTGGGGTCTGCCCAGTTGAGCACCAGAGTTGGCATGTTCTGTAATAGAGTTTTAATACTGAAATCTTATTTTCAGTGCCTGGACAGAAATAAAGATTTCTCTCTTTTTTCCTGATTCTAAGTAGGAATGGTGTCCTACCTATTCTTCTCAGTATATCCCAGACTTTGACATCCAGTTCAAAAATGAATGCGGTGCTTATTCTTGATGTTGCTAGAATGAACCAGGTTCTGAGTTACATTGTCATGAGCCTGCATTTTAGAACAATGTCCTCTGAAGCAATTTCACTATCAGTATAGTATTTTTGTTCCAACATTGAAAAAATACAGATTATATGAAAGGTGGCGTCTCCATTCAGCTTGATGAGAGATGACACTTACACAGGTATTTCTAAAATCACTTATATAGAAAGGCAGCGTAGGCATCTCAGCTCTGTTGATTGTCAAGATACTGTAGGATCAGGATGATTATTTCCTCTGGCAGACTTTCAGCATCTGTGATTTGTTTTGTTTTTCCCTCTGTGGCCCAGTTCAGATGCTTAACTATCAATTGTCCATGGAGTGGACAAGTGATTATCTTCTCCTCCATATAGTGAAGGCAGTCTGTAGAATTAATGCCCTGTATGGAGACTTGTATCCACATTGGGCTGATTTATGCCATAAATCAGGACTCCAGGTGACACTCCCACTTCATAATTTAATTGGAAGGTGTGTGATGGAAAGGTGGCCCACATTCTTCCATTCCAGAAGGGGAATGTCCATATTATCTGGTTTGGACCAGGCCTATATTCCCCTTTGTGGAGGTGTCAGTTGCTCAAGGAAGGCCAAATCATATGATTTCATTTGGAATTCCTTATAAAGGGTAATGTTTGGCAAAAAAGCATATTTTGTCAGATACTTCTAACATGGCCTTCTCCAACCTAGTACCCTCTAGATGTGTTGGTCCTCAACTTTCAGAATTCCCAGGTTGGGGCAGCTGTTTTAAGGCTTGATGATATTGTGAGCTTTTCCTCTCTTTCTCTCTCTCCTGGTTGGAAAATGAATGGGCCAGAGATCCTACTACCTGGCTCTGGAGGGC